ATTAAAAATTAGTGTAAGAATTTTTTAAATTTACACCAATAAATTAATCCCTACTCTATAGCTTAATTTTTAAAATTTTGTGGTTAAGCGGTTAAACTAGTAATAATTAATTGAGTCTCCAGTTGGTTACCATTAGAATTCCCTAGATTGGGAATTCGATTCACCATTCCCTACCCCCAACAAACTTGGTTTTATTTTTTTATTTTTTTTAAATTAAAAATGGATTTTTTTAGCGGTTAAGGTGTCAAAAAAAAGTGTATGCAAGTCTCGCTATTAATTGTTTTCTAGTTTGATTAAAAACAAATCATTTAAATTAGAATTAAAAAATTTATAAAAATTTATTTTCTCATTGATTTACCCATCGAAATCAAATCTTAATTAGGTTGGAAGCAAAACCCCTATATCAACTACACTACGAGTTATTGGATTCAAAAATGACTATTTAGTGATTCATAAATTCAAGGAATTATAAATTACAAGAAACTATAAAAAATCAGATAAATTTAAGTTAAAACACACGACAACAGAACTTGAAATTGAAAGATAATTTTTTCAATACTTTTTTTTGTTTTATAATAATTAATTTTGATTTTTTTTAAATTATAGATTTAGAAATTATTTATGTATTTATTTATATTATTTTTTAAAAAAATTTAAAAATAAAGTAATATTTTTTTATGATAAAATAATTAATCAAAATAAATTGATAATAATATAATTTTAAAATATTTATTTTTACTTTTAAAAATAAAAAATAATAATTAATTTAATATAAATTTAAAATTAAAAAATAACAATTATTTATAGAAAAAAAAATAAAAAAATCCTTTTTATTACAATATGAAGACAAAAATGCTTTTGTCGGTTTTTACCTCTGAGAAAAAATATACGGCGTCACAAGGACAAGCGATGAAGTTATTGCAAAACTGCAAAGCCGGCACGTCCACAATTATTCACATCGGCTTCCAAGAAGGCTGATCCGACGGCTGCGGTTCCGCTTACACTTGTCCCTGCCGCGCCAAGTTAAAAGCCCTGTTTGGTAAGATCGCAAAAATAGTTACAAGACCCAAATGACTCCTCGACAACTACGTTAATTGTTTTTTTTTTTTTTTTGTTAAAAATTATTTTACAATTTATTTTGTATCGGATGCTAAGAT